AACTAAAAATGATAGGTTTTACTAAATCTTTTCCTGTGCAATTATTACTAGCATTGGAGACAAGGATAATAGTTTGTTTGAAAGAGAAAAGAACAGGCTTTGAAGTAAGCCTAAAAGCGCTTAACTAGAAATAGTATTTCGAAAATTATTAAGCACAAAAGATGAATTGCGTTTATTTTGATACACTCTGTAGAAGATGCATTTTCCAGCATTTTGTTTTTGAGACACAAAAAATCATATTTTAAATGTCTAAAACACTGTTAAATTTGTTCTTATAATTAAGGCCTATAACAACAACGTCCAATAACAATAGCGACCACATCTCCGCTGGCTTTCCTTGTGGGTTTTCCGCCATTTTGTTTTTGTTCTTGGAGACGATTGCGACATCTTACATAAAGTACAACCTGTTAGAAACCGCTACCAAAAAACCTCTGAGCCTGTCCTCAACACGCAAGAGACGCGTACGTATCAAAGCTTCTAATCCAGTAATCTGTGACTGTGGCTATGTTTCCAGCGGAAATACACGCTTGTTTACTCACAAAACATTTTGTAAACACTTAATTAGAATTTATAGTTACTTAAAAAAGAGTAAGTATAGCCGTCGCAAATGGAAGAGTTGCAGTCGGATGCGACGGGCGACGGCTTATTTTGAAACCACTGATAAGAGATGATCCTTACTGGACCTCTAGGGAGAAGACTTTATAACTGATAGAACTATCCAGTATAAATAAAGTTTGATTTAGGTTTCCTCCTATCGTACAGTAATACTGGATATATGACTATGAGGACAAATTAGAACTGATAGAGTTATCCAATTAAAATAAAGCTAGTTCAGGTTTCCTCCTGTAGTAATACTGGACCAATACGGGATTGCCTTTACTGGACCTCCAGGGAGAACAGTTTAGAACTGATAGAGTTGAATAAATAAAGTTAGTTTAGGTTTCCTCCTGTAGCAACACTGGATCAATAAGAGGTTGCCGTTACTGGACCTTCAGGGAGAACAGTTTAGAACTGAAAAAGCTATCCAGTATAAATAAAGTTAGTTTAGTTTAGGTTTTTTCTAGACTTCTAGTAACACTGGATCAAAAAGAGATGATCCTTACTGGACCTCTAGGAAGAACAGTTGAGAACTGATAGAGCTATCCAACATAAATAAAGTTAGTTTAGTTTAGGTTTCCTCCTGTAGTAACACTGGGTCAAAAAGAGATGATTCTTACTGAACCTATAGAGAGAGCAGTTTAGAACTGATAGAACTATCCAGTATAAATAAAGTTAGTTTAGTCTGGTGGTAAACTTACTCTGGATGGTCGCCAAACATGATAGGTATATATTCATCAACAGGAACGAATCTTTGTAAAGGTTTCGGAGCCAACAATTTTTTCGCGCCTTCTAAAGTCAATACGTATCCCAGAGTCCACCAAGAGTAACCAGGCCTAACCAAGTGTTGAATCCCATCTATTCCTGTGTCCTGAGCTTGCTCGTTTACTAATTTACGACCAAGATACCTGACAAAAAAACCCACGTTTAATGTCTGCATGGCTTTGAATGCAAGTTAAATAAAATAAAATATGCGTAAGTGAGCGTACTGGCCCGTTTTCTGTTTCTGTTTCCTGCGTTTGTTCAATTTCTTACTTAATTCTATTTCGTATGCCTGCCTGGCCGAGATCCAGATTTGCAAAAAAATGTTCAACCTTCTCCTTATTCCTATTTCTTACTGAGATTGATGAAATTGTATATTCTTTAAATATTTAGTTTGACTAGACTGTGAGCAATCACTGTACTGGTAAGGTCTCATTTCCTTTCTTTCTGTTTCTCCTTTCTTTACTCATTCTCTACCTAACTTTCTTCACTTCCTTTTTATCCTCCATTTTTCTCTGCCAACCTCAAAAATTTTCTGGAACCAGTGGTCCCATGGTGCGCTATATTTTGCAGCCCTGATACCTTCCTTCTAATTGCTTTTTCTCGCTCACTAGTATTTAGCATTGGTCACCTGATTGACTGCATTGTACTCACATGCAGACAAACAATATACAGACTGGCAACTGCTAGTATATGTGATTTCAAATTCGTTAGAAATAATGAAATATAGTTATACTGTAGTTCCCAGTCTGGCGTGTTTTCATATAAACAGCCCCCTCCCCCTAAAAAACAACTTACATGAAGTCCCACTCGACTTGTTTTGCTTCCGTCATCAGACCTTCAAGTTTTTTTCGAAAGTCGGGTTCGAATCTGATATCATCTTCCAAAAACATAACAACTTGCAAATTTTCTCTCACCATCTGAAAATGAACAGAATACATTCTTGTTAAAGCCGGAGAAATAACGGTGTTAGAAATTGAAAAATATTCTGGTGTTAGCTGACATACTTTTTCCCACAACAGAAAATGACTCATAAAGCAGCCAATCTCTCCCTTTGTTACAGGCCTAGAACAGAACGAATTATTTTGATAAATATTATTTGTTTCAAAACTGAGCTTGATACAAAAACGTTTTATTCCTTTCTATTGTTTCTTCCTACATTTCTTCATTCTTTTCTTCAATCCTTCATCTCATTGATTCATCTTTCCACTCTTCTTTCATTCATCTTCTTTCCATCCACCCATCCTCTTCCCTTTACCTCCCACCAACCTGCGCACGCACACACCCTCCTTCCTTTCACCCATCCATTCGTCAACCCGACTTCCTCCCTTAATTTGAACCATCCTTTACCTCCACCCTTCCTTCTCTCTCCTTTCTCCCCCTCCCTTTCTCCACCCTACCTATCTCCTTTCTTCCTTCCTTCCAACCAAGCACACACTAACCTTCCTCCCTTTCATCCATCCATTCATCCTTCCACCTCCTCCCTTTCATCCATCCATTCATTCTCCCTCCCCTCCTCCCTGTCATTCATCCTTTCCCGGTTTCCCCACCTCCTCCCTTTCATTTACCCTCCCTCCTTCCTTCTTCCCTCCCTTCCTTTCTTCTGTTCTTTTGATCTCCTTGAACACACACTCGGTCTTAGTACCTGCCATGGTAAGGATCAGCATATCCATCGATAACCTTAATTCCCAGATTTTCAATTTCTTCATCTGACACTCGTCTACAAAAAAACTGCATATCAGCGTTCGATTCATCTCACTTTCATTATTCCATAAGATAAACGTTTAAAACACCAACTTTAGTTAGACTGGATAACTGGTTTTTGATTTCAGTAACAACCATCCTGTATTTGTCCAGTGGCACTACAGGAAGAACCTGGAGTACCCAAAGAAAACATGCAGCGTTTGGTATAGAATCAGACTGGAAGCATTCTCCTTACATGTGGCTGAGGTGAACGTAAACTCAGACATCTGCATATTATAGGAATGAATCGAATCCCAGTCACAAAGATGAGACTACGTCACTAGGACACATGAAGTAACCAAGTGTCGCCAACACCCGGAATTTAACATAGTTTGATCGACATTCTTACTTCCCATCGTAAGCAGCAATGAAAGTCCCATTAATCCCCAACAACTGGAGTGATAATCTCATCTTCTTTCGTCGGTCAGGGCGACGTTCGAGATTGATTACAAATACCTAGTAAACGAAAAATATCTTTAAGGAATAAGAACTCCCAAATGTGGATGTTTTACAGTACCTAATCTTACGTTTATAAATATGGCGGAATATACAGTGCTGTACTATAACCTGATTACAACATACGAAAATTGAGTGAAAGGAAAATTAGGAAATAAGGAATGGTAATGGACCTATTCTCTAATGAACAAAATTTTGATCTAGAGAAGTCTAGACGAGTACCTTTTTTCACAAAGCGGTATCAATTTCCCGTGCGTAATACAAAATGACTGAAAAACGGCAAACTTCGCAGGGCTATATTAACCGCATTTTACAACATTTCGCAGCGAAACGTCGGAATATTACTAATGTTGTGATGCTCTTTCAAGCTGTGATGAAATGTTTGTCTAGACTTGTCTAGATCAAAATTTGTTTATTAGGGAATAGGTCCATTGAGTTATGTCCATATTATGGAGAATAATTGTTCTTGTGTTGAAGAAGTACATCTTTTTAATTTGATTCCGGAATCATTCACAAAGATAATGAAGACTTTCCACTCTGTTTCGTGTTGTGGAACCACCATCACCATCGGTGAATTACTACGAATATTTTTTTCGAAATTACCTCGTCAAATCCAGCTTTATCGGCGACCGGGTACTTGACAGGAATATAAGCGCTTTCAGCTAGTTCTATATCATCAACTAAAACATCGACGTCAAATCAAAAAAAGAAACATTTTGTGTTCGAGGAAAAGGTACACGGAGATAAAGATTACAGTACCATTTAAATCAATGTTGTATCATCAATTTTCTCAATCTCACTATATATGCAAGCAGGTTCACAAATTACTTGCTTGTAACGCATAAACAACTTTTCCTTGCCAAGGGCAAGGAGCCTTGTTTCAAAGCTAGTCATGCCAGTTTTTGGACAAGGAACATTTGTTCGCGTGTACGGCCGGCAAGGGAAACTTGTCAAGTGTTTAAATACTTCTATGGTTTTGGCAAACAAAAGGCGGCCTTAACATGAGATACAACAGTAAATCAGTTTAACAAAATTCCGTGCACACGAACAACAAACTTTGTCAAGGGAATTTTGTTAAGGGAACTTTGTCAAAAGAACTTTGTCAAAAGAACTTTGTCAAGGAGAACTTGTTGACCGTACACACGAGAAAGTAAACATGTCAAGGAAACTTGTCAATGGCAACTTGCTTGTCTGTGTGGGGCTTTATTCCTTTAATGAAACTAACCATACGATTTCTTAATCTCTTACCAATCAACTCCAATTTAACATGTTGAAACTTCATTTGAGCATCATATAGTGTCGCTCTTCCAGGCATTGGTTCAATAAGATACCCGTAATAATCCTTGTTCAAGATGTGAAATTTTAAACCTAGTTTAAGAAATTTTAAACCTAGTTAAATATGTAAAGTTACGTAAAATTGTGAGGGGGGGGGGGAGTAACAGATGGTCCCAGACTCCCTGCTGTATAGATCTCAATCTCTCAATCTTTTGTACAAAAACGGATCCTGAAAAACCCTGATACTGATATCAAAGAAACTAGACCAATAGACCAAGTTTTGAAGTACCACCCACTCAAACCGACTTGACCTTGTTTAACTCAGCTGGTTGAGCATTTGACTAACAAACCGAAGATCGCAGGTTCGATTCCCATTGTGGATGCACTCTGCGAGCATCAAGCTTTGTCACGTTTGAGCCCTGTCCTTCAAAATGTAACCCTCAACAGCGAGAAAGGAAGATTTTACCAGCCCTTACCTGCTTCTTTGACAGCATGAGCAAAGACCATGACATCATCAATAGGTCCATCATAGTTACTACCCTCTGGTTTATAATACAGCTTTGTGGTGGCTGTACGTCGTAAGTCAATCAATGTAACAGAATGCAACATGACCACTTCATGGCAGCCTTTATTTTCTAGCTTTAATATTGGCAAATATTCATCTGTCCTCATGTAATAACCCTGGACAAAATAAAGTGGGAAAATTATGTTTGTCTCATTCATAGGTAGTCATGTTACAATCAAAACATGGTTTTTTGTTGTTTAACCCATTGAGTGGCAGCACTCTCCCCCTGACAAGTAAAATTGTCTGGTTGTAAAATAATCTGGCGTTAGACAGAGTAAACTAATGATTCAGCAGTAGGGTGCATCTGGGCGCATTGCTACGTAAAGGGTTAACAGGCAGGGTGTTAGCTACAGTAAAAAATTCCGCGTTAAACGCAGTTTTCCCAATTACCTTGAGGTCGCACTCCCAATTTGGGTCAGCCAAAAAATAGCATAAAAATTGAATTATTTTTTTCACATCTGACAATAGACCAGTACCGTATGTTGCCGTCCATCTTGCCATCAATATCTTGTTAATACGCCATTAAAAACATGTTTATAACAAAATTTGCTCAAAATTACTCCCAAAATGCGGGAAGTGCCGTTTCAAAGACACAAAAAATTTTTGCGAAAAATTTTGATATGTCCGGAAAATTTTTTGGACCCCTAAAATGGTACACTGACCGAAATTTATTTGGCGACGGAAAGGGAGGTCGCCCAAAAAAAATTTTTCCGAGAAAAAATTTTAAAATAAATTTCCCAATTTCAGGTAAATGCGGATTTTTTTCTACTTCTGGCTAACGCCCTGACAGGGTGCATGGGCAGATAGTCTGATTAACCCATTGAGTGGAAACACTCTCCCCTGATGAGTAAAATTATCTGGCGTTAGACAGAGTAAAATCATCTGGCATTAGACAGAGTAAAATAGTCTCAAATTTCTTCACATAAATTGACTTTTCCTTTATGACAGCATCATTTATCACATCCGCAAAATCAATGCCAGCAAAGGAAAGGCTGCTTGACGAAAACCATAATGTGGTATTTGACATCTGGTTAGTACATCTTGTGTCTATAGTAAGAAGGCTTATCTATCGGCTACACAATGACCTACAGTATTTCCTCTATTCTACAGTAGCATAACGTGTACAGCAAGTACCAGGGCCATAGCAACCGCCCGCCCAGGGGGGGGGGGCTGTTCCCTCCTTCCTTCCTTTCCTAAAATTGTTTCCTACGGTAGCTAGTACCTTCTCATCTCTGCCACACCAGTAATTAGAAAATGCTGATTTCTTCACAAATGAATGCACCAGTGGAGATATAATAGCTCTAAAATAGAATAACTGTTAGAATACTTTAACCTATTTTACAGACTGAAGTGAGTAATACTATTAATACATTCTAATGCCAAAAAATGAATAAAAAGATAAATCATTTTGCTCACTTTCTTTCTTCTAGCAGTGACCATATTGTGTTTGGATGAGTTATATAAACATCACAATCTAAAAACTGTAAGAAAAACAATGCTTTAACCCATTGAACACCAGCACTCTCTCCTTCACAAGTAAAATTATGTGTCATTAAACGAGTAAAATCGTCTGGTGTTTGGCAGAGTAAAACAACAAAATAGTGCGCATTAGGGTATTGAACTTTTTTGGGGAGGGGGTGGAGATTTAGCAACACTTCGGCAATAACAGATGTCCTACAGTAACTATACAGTCTATACCTTTAATGGAGAGAGCAGTTTAGACCTAGTGATAGAGCTATCCAGCCGGGATAAATTGAGAGAATCGAGTTTCCACAATTAAGGCAAACACAACTTACAAATATATAGTCAGCCCAAAGTCTCCGAGCTTCGTCCAAAGCAGCTTGTCTTAAATCAATCAAACGTTTGAATCTCAGAAGGGACCAATGATTGGCTGATATCGCATCCTCGTATTTGTCATCGATGTTTGTCGTGTTGATGTCAATACCATGGTACAGAGGACGGACTTTATCAACCCAATCATGAAGTATACTTGCTGTCTCATCTTCATTATGATCACTCCTTATCCTAAAATTTACAACATTTTACATACTTTTTGTGATAGCCAGTGATAAGTAAAAACTATAAACACATAAAGTCAAGGAAATATAGCGGTCAGTATCACTTTGTTTTGCCGGCATTTTTTTCCAATTGGTCTTTTCTCCGGTTCGTGACAATCCTGCAAAAGAATTCTCGCTAGGTAAGACTACTGAGACACAATTTCTTTAAAGACATATTTATTTCAATTCTTTGTGTATTGACTAATCATTATGCGACTTTGTGTCCATTAGACTACTTGACTAACGTTCTTGCAGTTTTATCAAACATTGCTGGTTTTAGTAAAACAACAATTAAATAGGGCACATTAGAAATGCTGTAAATGTAATATGCTGTAAATATTCCAGATCTCCTGCGGCTGGGGAGATCAACTTTCCACTGTGGAGTACCACCACTTTTTGACACGTGTATTTACCATGGTAACTCAAGGATTCAATCAAAAATTTTAAGTCCAATATTTCTCATTGCATTACATATAAATATGCAAAATACATAGATTTACTTAAATCTATATAAATTCGCAATCCCTAAAAATATTAAACCCATAAATATATACTTACGCGTTCTTAAGAATTTATAACCAAAACGACCGAAGCTATGCGCATTATATTCAGAACTTTATAATCCTATACCAACCAGCCACCAGGACATGGATATTTATGAGATTTAAGCTTTATTTAACTCAATTGATTGCTTCAAGTTAATAAAATAAATCACATATTATAAAACACAATTATTAACTAAAACTCACCATAAATAAATCCTGTTTTTCGGGTAGTCTAACTTCTCTATGTGCCCCAGCCAATTCGGTAGCGAATGTTCGATGTTTCGCGCAATTATTGGCAAAAATATACGCGGTTCTAGGACCTGATATTCATTGTAATTACTCAATAGTTTTTGCTCATCTTCGGCGTTAACACATACGAAAAGAAGCCAGGCAAATAGACAAATTCCACGCCTAAAATCCATCGCAAAATCTAAGTTATTTCGGCATGAATCTGGCTTTCGAAACGGATCGATTCCCTGACTTGCACGCGAAAGCGCAGACAAAGAATTTTTGTTTTGCTCAATTTGAGCCCGTTGTC